CGGTTGTAATCGATCCTTAGAGCATCGGATCTTTGATGTTCTAAGTTACTTTGGTTATAAAGTTTCAGTCTTTAGCTTAAAGTTTCAGTCTATTACTTGTTAATCGCACTTATTTTCGCATATCATCATTCGCACCTCACTCGAGCTCAATCATGGCTTTTTCCGTAGCCATGAGTGAGTAGTCTACTCATCGAGTATCGGGGTAGTAGATGTAGAAGCTTTACAGCTTGGCTAACTTAGTTTCGGCCTAAACCTTACGTTTCTCGAACTTAGGTTGAGGTTAATGCTCAATTCTCGGATACGGCCTTGAGCTCTGTCTTGAGGTATTCCACTGCCCGAAAGGTGTTTGATGGAATGCCTTACTAACCTTTTGCTCGGCTTAGCGACTCCTGGCCATGAAAGTGTTGTTAGGAGAGCTAGGTGAGCTTATTGGGACTTGATCTTAATGCTTGAAGAGTACTTATATCTAGCAGCGAAAGTTAGTTAGATGTTTGTACTCAACAAAGTGGTTAGTAGCATCACGAAAGTGGGATGATCATTATTCGTGTCCCATGCTTAAGAGTGAGCTTAATACTAAAGGCCCTGACTTTGTTAGCCGAGATCTATTGATTTACATCAGTTGCTATCCCGATACTTGGTGCTTCCCATCATCATTGCATTTGCTTTCAAGTCTCTGTTTTGCGTATCTCTAGTTTATTTACATTTCTGCTTAGTTTAGTTCATCCAAACCAAACCCTTGTTGATGCTTTAGCTTAATGAAAGTTCTTTATGGTTTAGTAATTTGTGTCCTTGTCTTCCCTGTGTTCGAACCCTTTTACTTACTGTAATTGAATCATGAGTAGGTTGTTAACTTTGTTAGGTTTTTATTTGATAAGTTAATTTTGCTTACAACTGGTAAAACAATTCTGATCAATTTGCTAATTTGAACATCCAATATTTGAATTAATATGTGTTTAAAAGTTGTGTATATTGTGAATTTATGGATTGATATGTATTTGGCCGACAACGAATAATATTTAAAGACAACTTTCGATACAATGGTTTATATAGATTTTTTTTATTGAAATTTTGAACGTAATGTCATGCAAAAAGTAGCAAAATTAAATGAAGATGAATAAAATAGATAAGAAAATCAAAGCCTGTGGTTTGTTATTGGATATTTGTGAAGGGATGAAAAGAAACAAGAAAGTTGTGAAATCAAATCAATATGATATGTTTGTTGTAGCAGATCAAAGTAAAGGTGAATGGTTAGATTCATGAGTGGTTATAAAAAATATGCATTGATTGGTCCAAGATATATAACAGGCAATTTGGGTACCATTAATGCACTTTTCTAATTTTATTGTGCCACATATTTGGTTAAGCGAAGGTGTAAATAAATTTAAATGTTATCAATAATGAAAATATAGACGTAGGATGATCTGGGTCGGGAGCGTAGTGGTCAGACGAACTTGTACTCATCAGCACACCTGAGTTTCCGTATCAGGAACTCATGCTAGATATTACAATATTTTCTTTAGACAATAAATTAAAAACAAAAGAGATACTTTAGTTTGAATATGTGATCAAAGGGTAAATACACTTCCATTTTATTCGTGTTAGGATAAAAACAAGTGGTCCACACCCGGAGAATAATTAAATCATGAAAAACTGGTTTCGAGGGAACATCCTGACGTTAGACCCACCACTTCAGACGTTGCAAATGGTATGGGAAGGTCAGACTTAGTGATGCATAACCATATTATCGGCCAATTGGCGTAAGAGGAAAAAGATATTAGATGAAAAGCACTAGAGTGCTTTGTACCGGGTTAACCTGGGAATCCAAATGCGACCAAATCAAGGACGAAGAATCCGGTAGCGAGTCCGAGCAAGTAAAAATTTAAAAATACTTCCCTATTTCCCTTCGGAATATGATATGAATATTTCTCTAAAAATCTTATACTAAGCTCATTCCTCTGGAGACTAAGATCCAATCTCTTTAGTTCTTAGTCTCAATTCGGCTGTTTAGGACCACATTCTACCCGCATTCTCACTTGATCTCTCTCTTTCTTAGGCGTTTCTTCTATAGATTCTCTACATATATTATGTTTTTCCCTTTAGCCTCGCCACAAATTTCTCATAACAAAACGTTTTGATACTCCGTGGGCCATCTCTTGTTTGGCTCCGAGTCACTCCCTTCTCTTCTCTTTCTTGTTTTCCAACCATTTTTTCTTTGCTCTCCATGATCCTCCAATTGTGTTTTATGCGGCTTTCACGTGTTTGTTGATTTTGCATAATTTGATTAAGAATTATGCAAAATTTGGTTAGTGGTTGTTTGGAAGGATTAAGAATTTCATAAAACAATTTATAAATTTCAAATATAAAAATTTAGTTTAAAAATTTTATTTGTAAACTTTTCAAATCATGAGTTAGTTTCAAAATACATAAATTTTGGAATATTTTTCGAAAATTTAAATAGTCTCTAGAGATATTGAAATCGTCAAAATAAGCCACACACGCACCAAGATATCAACGCACATGTAGTTATTATATAACAATAGCATTCTAAAACGTAATGGACCGTCGATCGACGTGTACTTTTTGCGTTCACTGTATTTGTCTTCAAGAAAACAATGA